CACCTAGACCCTGACCACGCTGGACACTGGACAATCTCCCCAAGGCTTCTGCAAGCCCGGCCTCCTCCTGAGATCCGTCCAGAGCAGAGGCATGTGTCTCTCTCCTGCCAGTTGTGTCTCCTGCTGAGGCTTCTCAGTCATCTCCTCTGGTGCGGAGACACCCTCACATCCTCTACCTGAACCCGCACCCCTAAGTTGCTCTGGGGGTTTCAAATCGTCTCTTCCCCCACGTTTTGTGCCCTGTCCAGACCCCATGTCTGAAGTAGACAAATGGTTTCCCAGGCACACCTCTGAGGCTGGTGGGAGATGGAGAGGGTGGGCTGCGCCACTGGGTGACAGACATGGCTGGGTCTGCTGGCTGCAGTAATGACTGTCAATGGACCCTCAAGTACAGGTCCAGGGGCTGAAACGCAGCCCAGTCACATGGCCTCTCCTGCCTGCCACGTCCCCAGAGCAGGGCCAGGCCAGTGGTCGCCACCACCCTTCCCCCATCATCAGGTCAGGTCTTCCAGGGCCAGGAGGACCCTGGCCAGGCCAGTGCAGACCAGAGACAGACCCTGGTGGCGAGTGGCTGGCAGGCCCTACCTCTGGATTACAGACGCGGAATCATTCTCCCGTTTCCGACGCTTCCTCTCCGCGTAGCCCCTGAATACCCTGAGAAACCGCCGCAAGTCAGCACTGCCCTTGGCTGAAGGCAGGAGGGGACACAGACGTGGGGACAGAGGTGCAAGCACAGGCGCCCCGTGGGGCGTCCCAGGCCCAGCTCCCAGCAGGCCCTGCGGAGGCCCGGTGGTCCACAGGAAGCCAGGCTAATGGGAGCTCAGCACTACTCACTGCCCAGGCCCGGGGTCCCTGACCTGCAGACATCTATCCAGGGGTGGGAGGGTCCCCCAGGACAATGGCTGTGCCCCTGAGTGCACATGGCATGGCATACTTACGAGATGCTGGAGTCACCGTGTGGAGAGGCAGCAAGAGAGAGAAGACAAAGTGAGTATGGATCTCGGGCTCCCTTCAGCCCCGCCCCCCAGGCCCCCCGGAGGGCAGCTTCCCTCCCAGCAGGATGTCTCCTGGACTCAAGGCCAGCTGTCAAAGGGCACCAGAGGCTGTCGCTGGCCCACACCACCAGGCACTGGGTTCTGGCCACCAGGAGGGGCTTGGTCCTAGAGAAGCTTGCCTGTGCTCTGCCCACTTTGCCATAGCAACTGAGGGTGGGGCGGGACTGCCCTGCTGTGGGGACCTTGCTTCTAAGGCATATCCTTGGGCCGACAACTTAGATGCGTGTCAGATAGAGGAAGAGACCTCCAAGAGACCCCTGGTAACTGTCACCTGTCACATACGAAGCAGAATGAGGTTGGAGTTTGGGGTAGGCATGAGGACGAGAATCCCCCACCCCAAACCACTTAGTGCTGGTGCTATCGGTTGCAACTGTGTCTGGGTCAGGTCCCCTGGCAAAAACGAAGATAAAAGGCCGTGAGTAAGTGGGTAGGCTGACTGCAGGGGACGCCCATGAGGGATGTGAGGAAGGAAGGGAGCGGCGGGAAGAAGTAAAAGCAGGCTATGGTCTGAGGGAGCACGCAGCCCTGCCTGCTGGGAGCCACAGCCTCAGCCTGGCCCATCAGCAGACCTGGCACCACGCGGCACATGCAGCTGTTCACAGGAAGCCTCAGCTGAGCCAGAGGCCAGGCAAGAGTGCAGTCCTTCCTAAGCCCTAGGAAGAGGCAGGCCGGCCCTGGACTCTGGCAGTGGACAGTGGACTCACGCTTGCATAGTTGTGGTTGCCGTCTGGAAGCTGAAAAGGTTTTCCTTGGGGAACCAGGTACGGATGGGGACCTCATCTGGAAGAGAGAGGGGCGGTGGCTAGCAAGGACAGGTGTCCTGAAGCCCGATCCTTCCCTATTGGGAAGAGACCCTGGGCCCGCCAGGCGGGCAACAGCGGCAGAGTCCTCTCAAGCAAAGAAAAGGCTGTCTCAGGGTGGGGTCCCAGGACATAACTCCATCAATCCACCCTCTGACTTGAAGCTTAAAAAACCCCAAACTCATTTGAATCTTCTCTTTGAGAGGGAGAAGGGGTCGGGAGGGAGGAGAGGTTAGGTGTCTGATCCTGCTGGAGCTGGAGTTACAGGTGGTTGTGAGAGGCCTGACGTGGGTGCTGGGAACCGAACCCGCGTCCTCCGCAAGAGCAGTAAGTGTTCTCAACCACTGAGCCGTCTCTCTACCCTCTGGCTTGAGGCTCTCTGTTTAACTTTCCCCTTAGCTGTTAAGAGTGTGAGGAACTTCCTCTAAAGCTGGAGTCTGTCTTTGGACTGTCACATTTTCGTCTCCCTTGGACATAGGGTAGCCCTCCTTTTAGCCCCGGAAGAGGGTAGGCTAGAGGTCCTGAGAGTGGAGACTACAGCTGAGGGCTGTCTACTTCCCAGGGTCCACTGGAGCTAGTCTCTGAAGCCCAGGCATGGGGCTGCTGGAATGTCCTAAGGGGGTGCTCTGTGGGGGAGGGTAGTTAAATACAGCATGCCCTCAGGGTATTCCAACCCTTGCCTCTGGTTTAACAATGCTAATCTCAGGGCCTAAGCAACTTCCCCTCTTTTGTAGTCCCTGAAGACATCCTTATCTTTCATTAAGCCATGTTTTTTACATCTTCAAGATCCTCCCAGGCCCCCCTCCTCCAGGAAGTATACTTGATAAACTTAACTCTGATAGATTCGCTTGGGTTCTGAGGGAGGCCACAACTCACAGGATTTAGGGGAGGGAGATGAGTCCAAACTGAAGGGATTTCATCCTTCACACCATGACACCCAAGCTTTACAGTGTTTGCTGCTGTTAAAGGCCAGCAGGCTACCCCAAAACCTGCCCAGGCCCAGAGACAAGGCCCCTCACCAGACACTCGATCAACACTGTACATCCTCTCCAGCTTCTTGTGGCGGCCAGAAGCCTCAGGTAGAGGTGGCTGTTCCAGGCCAAAGGCCCGAGGGGAGGGACCAGGGACCAGCTGGGCACATCCTGGGCATTCTTTGGAGCCCTGGCGGCTGCCTGCCCAGCTTTGGCAGGGCCTGCTGATGTCCTCACGGCTGCTGCCCGGGCTGGCACGCAGGGGCTGGCTATGGTGGTGAGGGTGCCGCTCCCGCTGCCTCCGCCCCTTTACCACTGCCAGCTCAATGGCTTCAGCTTCAGAGCCGGGCAGCAGGGCTGGCTCTCGAGAGATGGTGTACACACGGGGCTGAGGGCCCTCTGGAGCCGGCTTCCCGTGGACTGCCTCCTCTGAGATGCTGCCCTCATAGCGGCCATTGGAGACGAGGGAGAGGCGGCGCTTGTTCTGGGGGGCAGGCTGCATCTCTGGGGACCCGTCGTGGCCAGAGTAGGCGTCAGCCAGCAGGTGGTCTAAGGGAAAGGCACCAGGTGAACCTTCAGCCTGCAGGTCTACCCTCCCAGTCTCCAGGGACACGGAGGACCACAAACAAACACCCAGCAAGCACCAAGCTTGACGAGGGGGCTCTGGTTGCTAGAAAAGGTTCTGCCAGGTATCCTGTTCCTCTTTGTATGTGGGCCTGAAGCCCTATTAGAGTGTGGATTGGGGTGACAGACAGGCCATACTACCTGTGTGTGCATCATCAGAGGTAAGAATAGACAGGCCAATCTCCCCCACGAGCCTACAGATACACCCATTTGCCTGGTGCCAACTTCTCCCCTCCCCCCCGACCAGCTGGCCCCCGAGACGGTGGTGCCAGCCCTGGGGGTGCCAAGAGGCCTGTTGCCATGCCAACAACCCAGGCTGGGAGGGCGCCATGGAGATGGGTGTTTGGAGCTCCTCCTGGGGTTCTGGGCTCTGGAGGGCAGGGGATGGATGTGAGGAGGAGAAGCCAGCAAGGCGTCTAGGCTGGCTCACACTCCACTGGCCCTGGCCTGGGGCAGAGGACTCACCCTGCACAACCCTTTTGTTTCCTTGTGCCCCTACCTGCACCGTTGCGGTTCTCAGGGTGACTCTGGGACAGGTACTCTCCAAACGCTCGGGCTGCTCTGCAGGGTAGGCAGAAGGAACACGGTTAGTGCATGCTGGCTACCAGCCTTCGACATTGGTAAGACCCTCCCCACCAGATCTACCCCCACCCTAGCCCTCCACACCAACATGAGAAGAGGTGGGCTCTCTCCACCCACCAGAGAGCCAGGACATCCTGGCCACGGACCTCCGACCGCTTTCTGTCCAATCCGTCCAGCCTGTGGGCGGCAGGTTGTAAGGCCCGAGGCCCACTCTGGTCGGAACAGGAAAGCTGCAGGGGGCCGGGGCAGCAGCGCACACCACAGCGGAAGCTGGCAGCGGCTACCTGACCTCCGGTCAGCCCGCCGCACTCACCTTACTTTGGCCGCTACCGAGGACATGGCCTCGCTCCTCAGCGCCCTCCTCCTGGAGGCGGCGGCACCCATGGTCACGGTGCCCGCGCATCCCCCGGGCTTCAGAGCGCGCCCCGCGCCCGCCGCCTCTGCCGGGGGAGCCGTACCGCGCCTGAGGTCGCGCTAGGTCTCGGCCTCAGGGTCAGGGTCACACTCAGGCCCGGGCCCCGCATGGCCGCACCCAGCGCCCTGCGAGTCCAGCCACTGTAGGAGAGCGCGGCTGGACCCGGGGGCGGTGCTCCGCCTCCTGACGCCAGGCCTGGGCTGGCACCACCCCCGTGATGACAGATACGGGCGTGGTTAAAGGCGGCTCCTCCCGCGGGCTTTCTTCCTACGGCGACCCTCCCAGAACTAATGGGAAGCTCTTCCACTTAGGGCAGGGCCCACGTATGCCCAGGGGCGAGAAACGCCTAAGAAACCCAAGGGCTCTCTTTGATTTTGGGGGAAACCCTAGCTCCATCCAGACCCGGAGCATCCTGACTGCTTAGCCTACGGTTGCTGCCTGGAGGTTGCAGGAACCAGCAAAAGGGACCTGAGAGGTCAAATGACTACCCCACCGGGACCTTCTGGACCTCAGGTCCATCCAGCTCTTTGCCATAGCAACCTTCACACTGGAGTGAAATATCGACACAATCAGATTGACTTTTATTAATATGTCAATCCCATGCCCCCATGCCTCACAGAGGCTTCAGAGCCCCTCAGTATCGCTTGCTGTGGGGATATAAGGCGTGCCGGCCAAGAGAAGAGGCCCATGACTCCTCTAACACAGCACATGTCCCTGGAAGAAACCGGATGGATACACCTCCAAGCTTGATCTTGTCAGGCAACTGAAGTAGCCACCGAGGAGCAGGTGCATCCTCAGTCTTGGGGTCAGGCCCAGGGGAGGACTGTGCTGTATTGTATTAGTCCAGGCAGGAAAGGCATTAAGGTCTTGGCCCCTGCTCATTTGGATCAGGGAGCCAAGGGCAGGAGTCCTGGGTCTGTTCTGGGAAAGCCAGGCCTGAGGGCTCTTGCCACACTGAAGGCTCATCCTCCTAGAAGCAAACAACACATGGTCAAGGTATGTGAAGTAGGGGCTGCCAGATCCCAGGATGCATTATTTGGAGCGGGAGGGAGTGGCCAGCCCAGAATCAGAGACCAGGGGCAGGCCCTGTCTGAGGACCTCAGGGTGGGCATAAACAAGGGGCACCGGCAGGACAGGGCCCAGCCCCTCACCGAGTCAGAGTCCAGCTCAACCCCAGTGCTCTGGAAGTCAGCATATGTGTCCTTGGGGATGTCTGGCAGCTCCTCCTCATACTCTGTCTGATAGTCAGATTCATCTGGAGCAGAACGGGCTACATTAGTCCCCTCCCCAAGGACAGTGGCTGTGTCCAGCACAGCTAAAAACTAAGGCAGCACATGGCCACAGACCCTCTGTCCCCAGCTCCACGGTAACAGTCCACACACACAGCCATCTCTTCAGTCCCAGGGCTGCCAGAGGGAGTTGTGGCAGACCCAGCAGTACATCACATCTGGCTCTGTCCACCCCACTTCACAATGGGTCCTGTATGTCTTTCACAAAAACATGGAGACGTTGGCCCTCCTTAGCTACTGAGCATGCTCAGGAGGCCTGCTCAGGGTGGTGTGAGGAGACACCAGCAAACCCAGCTCTGTGCCTGGGGCTCTCACCCTGGGAAGTCCCTCTTTAAGAGGGGAATCCTGCAGAACGTGTTGTTCTGCTGCAAGGTGGGAGTGAGGCTGGGGATGGTGGTTGCTGGCCCCCTTGCAGGGCTGTAGGGCAGAGCAATGATTGCTAGCCCTGGCCCTCGGGCTCTCTGTAAGTTCTGCCCGTCGTGGGCGTCCCTGAAGGTCCGTGATGTGGTTAGGATACTATATGGAGTGATGAGGGAGAAGCCTGAGTGCCCCAGGAGACAACCCCATCGCTATGGAGACTCTTGGGCTGGAGAGATGCTCTCAGGGTCTTGACACAATGAAGCAGCAGTGGTCAAGTACCAGTGACTTCTTCAGGAGAAGAGTGAGGGTCCAGAGGAATGGGGTCCGGCCACCTCTAGCCCGTCCCAAGCTTCGTTATGCAGGCCCACTTTCTGGACATCTAACTCACCGTCCACGGCAGCCACCTTGGCCGGCTCAATCCGTGACACGATCTCAGCGAGGTCCGTGAAGGAGGCACTGGGGCAGGTGAGCACCTGGAGCAGGGCGGAAGGCAGCTCGGGCACTCAGCACGTCGCCTGGCTCAGGCTGCACACAGGTAGGGTGCAGAGAAGGCTGCCAGTGCAGGGGACCCCCACCCTGCCGACCCCCCTCCACCCTGCTTCTCACCCCACAGTCCTTCCTCTTGCTTGTCCCCTGCTGGTCCTGCAGCATCTTCTCCAGCACGCCACTCCGAACCCAGATGTCAAACACTGTCCGCCCATGTTGATACCCGACCTCCTGCATACACAGGAGGCCCCATCAGGAACTTGAGGGAGCCCCTTCCTGTGCTCTTAGAAAAGAGGCTGAAGAGGTGACAGCCATCAGAACTGACCCCCAGGCCCTCTTCCCCTGCACTCAGTGGCTGGCACTCACACAGATCTCATTAAACTTGCCGAAGTCCAGGGTGCGGTAGCTATCAATGGGAGGCCTCAGATACTCGCAGTAATCACTGTTCTTCACCATCTCCAGCTGCCGGACGCAGCACACATAGGCCAGGCGTGTCTGAATCTCTGCCATGTTCAACACCTGCCAAGAATGCTTCATCTCCTACCCTGGCCCTCCCTCCCGGCCCACAAACATGATGGGCCCTGAGAGCCAGAGATGTGACCTAGTGAGCCCCTGGTGTCCCAGAGTTAGTCCCGGGGCCTGGGAAGCAGTACAAACAAGTGACCCAGATCTGCTGGACTCTTGAGCTTGGGAGGTGCTTCTACATCCCTGCTGCCAGGGAGGGCACAGGGGGTGAGAGCATAAGCCCCAGAGAGGCTATCAGGTCCATCTGGTACCAATCCTACCTTGACTTTTGAGGCCAAGGGGTTCCAGCGTTTCCAAAGTAGCCACCATCCAGACAAGGCATCTCCATAGTTGGTGAGATCCATCTCATCCCGGCTGCCAACATCAATAGCAATCACAACCTTTGCCCCCATGGATCTTGCCACATCCGCTATGGAGAAAAAGGTAGCCTGGTCACCAGCCAGGTTAAAAATGCAGAACCAGGGTACAGGGTAGCACTCCAGGAGGAATGGAAAAAACAGATGAGAGGCAGACCCTACTTTACTAAGCACTAAGAGGGCCCTGTTTCTCTTGGTGGCTCCACCAGGGGACCATGTGGTCCCTCTCTAATATTCTTCCTGGGTCTATGGAAGCAGGAGATCAAATGTCCCAGCTTATATGTATCCTTGTGCACAGAGCTGTGTGCTGAGCCCTTCTGAGTACATAGCCAACAGGTAGCAGGTATGGCCTCGCTCATAGTACACCCAACACCTGCAGGCTGTTAGTCTCCAACTGTGGGCACAGATGGAGATCAATTGCTCCTGGTTTGTCTCCTTGGCCTTTGTTCTGTTGCTGCTGTGCTGACAGGCAGAGCCATATGCTGGGAGCATGCTGTGCGCATGTGCATGCCTGGGCACATGCGCATGTGTTCTCTATGAGCTGATGCCAGCCTGACATTTTCTCTTGGCATACTCTAAGGAAAACGTGTACCACCCCAGCCTTCCTGGTGTGGAGGCGGTGGTGGCAGGCAGCCACAGGGCAGAATGACCAAAGAGCTATGTACCAGCCTGTGGGACACGCCCCCATTCTCGGCAGTACCTGGGAGGTTGTTGATGTAACCCCCATCCATCAGCAGGTGTCCATCCTTGGGGTCGCAGAGAGGGGGCATGTAGCCCGACAAGGACATGCTTGCACGAACATACCTCCACAGAGAGCCTGGAGCATCAACAAGGTCTGGTGGGAAAATGGCTAGCAAGGAACCTCCCTGCCCTCTGTGGTCCTTGTCCTCCACTGGAGAATCAGAGCCTTATCTCTGTCAGTCTGAAAGCCCACAGATCCTACCTCTAGGGAGAACACTAAGCTTGACAGATCACCACCACCAGACCTCTCCTCCCAAAGGGCTTTGCCTTGAAACGAGATGGCACTGAAGTAATTCTCTGTGATCCCCAGATATCCCACTTTACCCGAGTGAGACTGCTGTGCCAGAGCACATCCCTAATTCTGCTCCTTTCCCAGAGGCCCTTTTATCCACCTGATATCCTCACTCCTGACTGCCCTACTCCACCTAGCGTGCCTGTGGCAGAGACATCCTCTACCCACGCCATGCAAACACGCCTGTGACTCTTGCTTCCTTTGTAAGACCCTCCGTGCCCTCACGGAGCTCCCTGTCCCTGTCCTGTACCTGCCTGAGATCCTAGAGCGCTGACCCCACTAAGCTGACCCTACGGTGGTTTTGGTTGGGGAAAGCTCTCACCATCTGTGTGAACCCGCATGGCAGAGGCTGTGATGTCAGTGGTGATGGCAAAATAGGGGAGCCACAGGTCCTGTGGGGAGGACAGGGGTCAGAGGAAACCTTCTCAAACTGTTCCCTGTCCCACACTGGCAAGGCCCATCCAGGGACGGTGTCAAGGTCACTGAGCATCCAGTGCATGCCAGGTGTGGTGGGGACACACCTCAATCTGCCGGTCTCCGAAGATGCTGCTGATGCTGCTATTGAAGCCAGTTCCAGAAAACATAGATGTAATTGGGTAGGTCAGGTCCAGTATAGTCTTCACCATCGATGTCATATCCTAGAGACATGGGAAACCTTTACTCAAGAAATCACATTTCTGCATCAAAACTCAGGCAGCCAAGAGAATCCACAGGTCCCACTGCCTGAAGTTTCAGGAAAGTACTCCCTGTGTGGTTGAGCCTTAGTGTATGCAAAGAGGCCAGCAGAAGCTCCTGGGGCCTAGATGCTAAGAGCCTCACATAGCTCCATGACTTCGGTCCTTTCCTCACACAGCTATACCTTGAGCGCCCTTGAGGACTCCAGCAGACCTTTGTGCTTTGGGCATCCAGATTTTCCTACACAGTAGAGTGAGCACTAGGCTGGACAGAGCCACCAGCTCTAGAACCTTCCATAAGACTAATGAGTGACAAAGAAACAAGGGACAAGACAGCTGGAGATTCTGCCCAGGGCCTGGACCAGGGAAGCCGCCGGACAAATCACCCCACTGTCATCCACCTCTTTAGCATGGTGGGGAGGTGTGTCCACAGCTTCATCCCCATCATGTCCAGCAGTCGTCTCCTGCAGAACAGCCACCTTGGCAAGGCCCCTCAGGATGGTGGGAGGACCGGCCCAACGTGCCCTGACTTCTATTGCTGCTCCTCAGCAGCAGATGAGCAGGAGGAGGGAAGGAAAGACACTTCCCACAGGCCCTGGGCTGGGCTCCCCAGCCCATGACTACATTCTAAGCTGTTCTATAGCAATTGAGCACATTTTCCTGTGGTCACTGCTCTCAGAGGCCACCCCCAGTGATGGCTGACATGTCACTGAGGACAGGCTCTCTTTTTGGATGGCCACCCATTCCATGGAAGAACTATTTCTGGACCGAGAGCCTCAGGCTGTGTCCTCAGCTTTGTGAATTCAGCAGATAGCCCACTCCTCAGCTTCTGCATGAGGATGACCAATTTTTTTTTTCTTTGAAAAAGGAGAGCACAAAATCTTTTGATCCCACGCATGGTTTCAGCAGGGTTCCATTTGTTCCACTGGAGCAGCCCAGCCTCGAGAAGGCTCTGAGCTGCCTGCTGGCAAGACAGACTAAGGGCACCTGCTCTGCTTCCTTTGATTCTGTTGGATGCTTTGATTCTGATTCTGGGGTCCATTTATGACAAGGCTGGACTAACAGCAGACAAGTCACATCTCCTGTGTAGCCTGGAGCCCACGCTCAGCCCCTCCTGGTTTGACTCACACCAAGACAATACTCCCTTCTCCAAAATCATCTAGGGCTAGGGACCAGGCAACAGGGAATGTCTCCCAAGCATGCTGGAATGATCCACAGAAACCAATCTGAAGCTGCATATTCTGCCTTGCCTTTGCCTCAGGAACTGAGGCATGGCTGGGGAGTGGGAGCATCTTGGAGCAGTTGGGGGAGGGATTGAATGTCATCAAAATATACTGTATGAAATTCTCAAAGAACTAATAAAAAAAGTAAAGAAGACATGGAGTTGGGAAGAAGACATGTTGGGGAGCTTACGGGGCGGTTAAGTGGGAGGTAGATATGATCCTATTTTATTATCTACACATATGAAATTCTCAAGAATGAAAATAAATTTTTAAAAAGAAACCTGAGGCCTGTCCTCTTTCCCGATCTTGCCTGCCTGCCCACTCTAGCCCTGGTGTAGCTGTGCCTCGTTTCCAGAGACCATAGGATCCACTAGCTCCCCTCACTGGCATGGCCCTCCATGTTGTCACCCGGTAAACCTATCAGTTAAGACTAGAGCACAAAGCAGACCCCCCTCCTGCTACCTGCCCTAAGGCCACACTCCCACCTACCTCAGGCCACCTCCTGTCACCACTTCTGGCCGGCTCCCATCTGCCTAACCTTTTACTGCTTTATGCTGTCCCTCTGCCACACGGGCCACGCTCCGACCTACATGCCTGTCTCCTTCAAACTAGAGCCTTCCTGAGGGCGGAGGGTACCTGCTTACCTCTGCCCACTGCTTGGCCCGGATCCGAATCTGGCTGTAGCTCCGCTCCTCAGCAAACAGAGCACCCATGAAAGCCCCAATGGAAGTCCCTCCGATCATGTCCACTGGGATGCCACACTCTGCTAGGGCCCTGAGGATCCCCACCTGGGCACAGCCTCTTCACCAGTAGGAACAGAGACAGAAAACAAGCACCAGAGTCAGGTCAGCCCTTGAACTGTATGCCCTGTGAGCCCCAGAGGCGCTGCCCACGATCTGCCTGTTCCTCCCTCCTCAGAACCTAAAGCTTGCATGACCACAGACAATGGAACAAAGAGGAGAGGCTCCCAGAGGGAGTCTGGATATAATTTAAAATCCCTCTCTCTGGAGGGGCACAGGGACAGGGAAGGAGGCTTTTACTAAGGAGAGGCAGTGGGTGGCTGCTTCTATCCACTGCTGATTCCAACAGAGGATCACAGAGGCCGAGGAGCTGAACAGGCTTTACCACATTTGTGGGTGGGGGAAAGTGGAAATGAGAGCCCCCAAGGGAGAAAAAAAAAGGGGTTCTGGTAAACACCAAGGACTGCCTGAGGAGTTAAGCAAAGTAGAAATGAGCCAGCCCCCACAAAGCAGAAATTCAGTTTCTCACTTTTTCAAACCAGGCTAAAGCTATGACCTAAAATCTCAAAACCAAACATAACAAGTCACAGGAGAAGAAAAGACCTCATGACACAAGACAAGATTAAACAACGACAGTGGACCGAGGGAGGGACTAGAAATGGTAGAGTACTTGCCCACCATATGCACACTTGGTTTGGTTCCCACTACCATGCACATTAAAAAAGGCATAAACAAGCTAGGCGGTGGTGGCACACGCCTTTAATCCCAACGCTCAGGAGGCAGAGCCAGGCGGATCTCTGTGAGTTCAAGGCCAGCCTGATCTACAGAGTGAGATCCAGGACAGGCTCCAAAACTACACAGAGAAACCCTGTCTCAAAAAAACAAAAACAAAAAAAAAAGAAAGAAAACAAAGATATAAACAGTCTGTGTTTAGCACCAGAGGTGTGGGTGAACAAAGTGTTTTTTGTATGTCTGTAGTGAGTATATTAGTATGCTTAGTAAAAGAGGGAGATACACAACAGATCTATGACTCCAGTTCAGGTATCTTGCAACATGCAAATTCATGAATATGGAAAGTAGAGTTTCCAGAGGTTTCAAGGAAGTGGAGTGAATGTGTAATAAACACAGAGTTTATTTAGGATGTTGAAATGTTCTAAAATGGATAGGCCTGACAGCTGTACAACAATGTGACCACATTCATTGTACTATAATGGTTAAAATATTCATTATTGTGTATACATTTAGCACATAAAAAAGAACAATATGCAATACCAGAGCTACACCCTCACAATGGAACCTCATGAGGATTATGGGAGTGAGGGGTAGAGGCAGAGCCACAGGCAGATGAGGGTGCATAGCGACCAACAGACGTAGGTTAGTTGAGGGTTAGGACGTCAGTAATCTAAAACTTAAGGAAACATACAATTAGTCAGATAGGAATACTACTTAGGATCACAGAAAAGTCAACATCCAAAAAGACTCGAAAGTATTTGTTTCTAGGAAGTCTATAGACTTGGCTCTGGGAAGGGCAGACAGAGGACTGTTTCTGGTGTGCCTTGCAGAACCACTCGGCTTTTAAGTATACCTTAAGCCAAATGGTAGACTCTTCAAAAATATTGCTGGCCTGACCTGCAAGCCAGGACCAGGTCTGCATCTAACTGTTCTAAGTTTCTACTATCCAGGCCTAAAGAAAGGACCAGGGCCTCCCTACTGACAATGTCGCACCACTCCTCTGGGCCAGGGCCCCCACAATTCAGGATACAACGAGCATATGGGGGTGGTAGGGTCACTTCACTATAGACTGAGCAGAGCCACACTCAGCTCATGGTGGGCCAGTTCCAGAGCACCCCTCCTCCTGGGAGATGTGGAGTCTGACATGGTCCCTTCATGCACATCTGGATCACTACTTCATCCTCCTCATGATGTGCTGAGGCTCCACTTCTTTCAGCTCAGAAGGATCAGATGACAACTCAGGACAGGAATTACATGGGCTAAAAATCCTTTAAAGAACCCAAAGCCTAAAGACCTGAAGGATAATCCTCTAGTTCATGAGCAGAGCAGGCCATTCCTCCATAGAGAATATATTAAAATGGGAAGAACCTCATGGGGAGCCCAATGGAGAACTGGCCAAGGACAAGAACAGACAATGTTCAAAGAGGAGACACATGGCTAACCAAACAAATGTATCTAAACACAGGCAGTCAGATAACACACACATTTTCTTCTACCAAACTGGTAACTGTGAAATCCAGAACATTTGGGCTATAAACACACATGTGCCCACTTTGGCATGCGGACCCCCTTGTCATCCATGGGGATTCTTTCTTGAGGATACTAGAGTGGTCCAAGGATCTTTTCATCTGTGGCGCCATACTACCGTCTTCCCCATGCTCAGGGTAAAGCCTGTGGGAGCAACTGTCACCCCACACATGTGGCACACAGTTGGATGGGGCTCACCTTGCTCCACCCCCTCCAAGCACCAAGGCAATGGCATTGCCTGTCAGCACCCGTGCTAGGCGGGAAAAGTCTGAGTGCCGGTCTGGTGGTCGTTGGAAAATTCGTGTGTACATTTCAACCTGAGAGGAGCCAAAGGAAGACAGAGGTTCGTGCATTTCTCCAGCTAAAACTCTGTACATCCTGATCTGATTCAAATCCTATCCTCTCCAGGACACAGGACACCTCATTAGCACCCAAGTGTCTGACAGGGTCCAAGCTCACCTAAGGGGTGCTGGCAGAGGACAAACAGACCTAGAGGAAGCTTCTAGACTGTCCAAGACCACAGAGCCCCTCCGGATGTCCTCACAGGAGTCTCTCCACTTGCCCTTGTGTAGACAGTGCTCTTGGGGGCATATGGTCCCGGCATGGGTGCAGTCAACAGGATGCTGTCCATTGAGCTGTGGGTTGGTCTACAGCATGTGGACAGCCCCAATGCTTCCCAACACCTAGTTTTCACATTCAGCCCAAAGAACTAAAGATGGCCTGAGTTTTAGGGTCGTATCTGCTTCTGCTCTGAAGGGATGGCATAGTGACCTAACCATGAGATCTCTTTGGGGCCTCAACTAAATGTGAGACTCTCAGGCTTGATTCCTGAACCTAAGTCAAGCCCGGATTCCTGGGCTCACTGGTTCCCAGGTCTGGACGGCCTCTCTGTGCCTGTGCCTCCACCATGCTGCGCCTGCCTTCCTTCATCTGCAAGGCAGCCCAGGAACTCCAAAGTGACGGTCACAGAGTTCAGAGGCAGAACAGGCAGGCCCAACGGAACCCACCAGCCCCGATGCTGCATAAAGGGAAGAAAGCCAGTTCCAAATGTACCCCGGGAGGCCAGAGATAATGGAGTCAGGGCTGAGTCCCACTGGGCCAGCCCCCCAGGCCTCACCAACTTGGGCAAGCTCCTCTTGGAGAAGACACGGCGTGGGCAGCGGAGGTGCAAGTGGCCGGAGCACCAGCTTCGCATGTTGAGCCACTCCACTGTGCGGGCAGGCCCTGGACCCTCCTCTCTGTGCAGCAGGATTAGCTGCTTCTGGGCACGCACAGCTGTGTTCTCCAACATCCGCTCCAGCTGGAGGAGAGTAAGGCCTGGTCAGCAGGCCCAGGTAAGCCTGAGGACTGAGCACAGTACAGAACACGGACACCACAGAGCTAGCTCCAAGGTCCACACTCAACACTGCCCTGACGGCTGGCCCCAGAGAGGCCAGTGTGTGACAGGTCTAGTCAGTAGCTGGGCTATAGAGATGGCTCATTCTGGGGCTACTAACCCCCGACCACATGGTCCACTTCACTGTGTGTGCTGGGGTATGAGACAGGAGTGCTTCCTCCCATGTTTCAGACACTGCCTTGTGAACGCATGCTGTGACCTTTGCAGATGACGCACTTCGGGGGCATCTGCCTGACAAAATAGCACTGCTCCTGCATAAGGGAACACACATGATGGGGGTGACTTCAGCTGTTTCAGGATTAGACGGGCAGGGCAGATGCTTGAAATGAAAGCCAAGCAGGTAGAACAGAGAGGAGAGGGGAACACTAATTCAAATGAAGAGGTGTCACTTCATACTACTTAAAGGAAATGAATGGACTGAAAGTGTTCATTCCTGGGAAGGACATGGAGTGTTTCAGCCACACCTGCAGCCATTCACAAAGGAAAACTGAAAACAACTACCAGGTAAGCAACTTGGCAGCATCTAGTAAGTGCAAACATATCCTCTGGGGTCAGCAACTTCAAAGTACCTGAAGGTAACTTGCTTGTTACTGTGAAGTAACTGGTGGAGAATGCATGAACAGATGGTGGGTGCTCCCAAGTGGAAAACCAAACAGTCATAGAAACGGATTGAACAGGGGGATCTTTATCAAAATCCTGGCTATTGATGAAAAAGTAAATTCCATGTGGGATGGTGGTGGTGCACGCCTTTAATCTTAGCGTGTGGAAGGCAGAGGCAGGAGGATCTCCAGGTTTGAGGCCAACCTGGTCTATATAGTGAGTTTCAGGACAGAGAGAGCTACACAAATAAACCCTGTCTTGAAAAATCAAGACAAATAAACAAACAAACAAAAAAACCACCAAACCAAACAAACAGTAATTTTGGAATGATCTAAAACAGGGCACCATTTCTATATAATCTTTTGGAGTGAATACAGGAAAGGTCTCTAAAGAGTAGGTGGCAAATATGTGGGTCCTCTTCTAAGTTTAAAAAAAAAATTTTCAACTAAAGGAAAGATAAACAGGGTTCTGGGATGGAAGTCCCTCTGAGCACTCACCTCACCTACTGCTGGTTCTTGCTCACCCAAACCCACAATGAGGATGCAGTCAGCCTGACGGATGCAGCGCTGGGTCCAGGGTGTGAGTGTGCTGTCTGCTTGATAGAGCACAATCCGGTGGATGTCCTCCTGCTGCCCCAGCCAGCTGGACAGGCGGTACTCGTGGATACTGAAAGACAGAAGGCAGCATCTCACTTTAAAAAAAAAATTTTTTTAATTAATAATTTAAAAATAAAATTTTTTGAGACAGGGTCTCACCATATAGCACTGGCTGGCCTGGAACTCCCTTTGTAGACTAGGCTAGCCTCAAACTCACAGAGATTGGCCCACCTCTGCCTCCTGAGTGCTGGCACCTCACTTTCTATGGCGTCTCAGGCTCCTCATCTTCATTAGTACCTCTCGTACAGAGCAGCAGAGGGGGGCTTGGAACTGGGCAGTTGAGCAGAGGCTGTGGCCAGGCCTAGAGGCTGGGGGCTTAAGAGAAGCTGAGATGCAGAGCTGCCTCCATGATAAGGAGGGCCTGGTTGTCTCCTGAGACCTCTGATGGTACCCAAGCACATATAGAGAGTAGAGGGTATAGCTGCATGAGGAACCTGCTGGAATGTGCAGACACCAAGGCACAGGGGTAATGAAGTCCATCTCAGGACCAAGCCAGGACAGCTAAGAAAGAACTTAGGCTGACTAAATGGGACCACAGGGGGCTGGAAGCGCACCTGTCTAGAGCCGCAGAACCGAGGCGTTGTTTGATGTTGTCACTGGTCAGCAGCAGGACAGGACCTGAGAACAACCACCCATTTCAGAAGTCTGTCCCAGCAGCCACCTCTAAGGACAAGCAAAGGACAATAGTGTTCACACCGTGTCCCGAGGTCAGCTCCCTGGGAGGGATTGCTGGCAATGGGGATGAGGCTCGTTTTTAAGCTGCCTCTCCAAATCTGGGTCTCCTGCTGACATGCAAACCAAGTCTTTGCAATCCTACCATCATGTGTGTGGACACAGGCTGGGGCCAGGACACATGCAACAGTAAAACAGAAATCCTGTCATTTCCCAAAGCCACATCTAAAGTGGCCTGGATCCAAATCTAGCTCATTCACATACAGACGCCAAGCTTTCACATCCATGCCTCTCAAGTTAGCCAAGGAAAAGTCAGATGTGGCTCAGATGCCATGCAGAGTGAAGAGCAATGATCACTCACAGGAAGCTGCCTCAGGAGTATACTGGCCTTAGGTGGAAAGGGTCTAGCAATGGGAAAGCCAATAATAATATACAAGGAGACTTAAATCATTCTTTTTTTTTTTTTAACTGTGTTTTGCCTGCATTTATGACTATGTGAGGGTGTTGGGTCCTCTGGAGCTGGAGTTACAAATAGTTGTTAGCTGCCATATGGTTGCTGGGACTTGAACCTGGGTCCTCTGGAAAAGTAGCCAGTGTTCTTAACTACTGAGCCATCTCTCCAGCCCCTTATTTATTTATTTATTTATTTATTTATTTATTTATTTATTTATTTATTTATTTATTTATTTATCTATTTATTTATTTATTTTTGGTTTTCAGAGACAGGGTTTCTCTGTGTAGTTTTGGTGCCTGTCCTGGATCTCGCTCTGTAGACCAGGTTTAAATCATTTTTAACAAGCCAGCCATGGTAATCCAGCCTTTAATCCCAGCATTTAAAAGGCAGAGGCAGGTGGATCTGTGTGAGTTCAAGGCTAGCCTTGTCTACATGCTTCCAGTTAGGCTAGGCTAGAGCTACATAGTTAGAGATTGACTCAAAAACAAACAAAAAATCATTCTCAACAAGCTCATCCAAGAGTGTGCAATTAAGAGCTAATTCATGCTGGGAGGTGGTAATGCACACCTTTAATCTAGCACTTGGGAGGCAGAGGCAGGCCCATCTCTGAGTTTGAGGCCAACTTGGTCTATAGAGTGGGTTCTAGGACAGCCAGGGCTACCCAGAGAAACTCTGTCTCAAAAAAACAAAAACCACACATATATACAAAAAAACAAACAGGCTAATTCATAAGAGTGTGCGCGCACGCGCTCGCACGCACCAGGGTCTTAGGCTGGCCTTGAACTCCTAAATTTAAGCAATTGACCCAGCTCTGCCTTTCAAGTAGGTGGGACTACAAGCAAACACCACTGCATCTGGCAACAGTATCACATTTTAATTAGAAGCTGTTTCTTAGAGGCATACAGAGTAAGTGTATTTTTACAGTTGGGAAGGCTACTGGAATGTGGCGATCACAACTCTTAAATTAAACTGTACAAATGTAGCCAGGCATGGTAGCACCTGTCTGCAGAGGGAAGTGGATCTCTGGGAGTTCCAGGCCAGCCTGGTCTACACAGTGAGTTCCAGGCCAGCCAGAGATACAAAATAAGGCCTTGTCTCAAAAAAATTGAACAACAACCAGAACAACAATAACAGAAAAAACATGGAAATTTTTTAAGTAGGCAAACCTGTCCCACTACAGAGGTGAAAAGCAAAGGGCAGCAGGTCCTATAGGCATTCCAAGGCTAGTACATCCCCAACCTGGACAGTAGCAGATGGGCAACACATTGTCTCTACCTCCTCCTGCCAAGAGGCTTTCCTGCATAAGATAGATGGTATCTTGCTACATAAAACATGGAGGTGCTGGTCTGACCCCATTTACCAGGCTAGATCCATTTACCCTCAGGGTACTTCTCCTGTCTAAACTCCTCTGCTAGATTTGGGAGCTATAAAGGAAGTGTGGAGTTCCCTAGATATAGTATTCTAGGCTCTCACAGCTAAGGCTTCCAGCCCTTCCCATTAGATGCTGCTGACCATGTCTCTGTTTGCCAAAGGCTCTGGGTTCTGTGTAGGGGGCTGGATGCTTCTTCCTACAGAGCACAGGTAGGCAAGTCTAGGTGAGGGGAGCCTCTGGCCTCGCTGGAACCAGGCATTCCAAAAGTCAAGAGGCTCACAAGAACTACCTGTCTCCACTCTATGGGGTGTAGCCTAAAGGCAGCGGGCAGCCAGGTTGCTATGCCAGGTCCCTGCTGGCTTGGACAGCACTGAAGCCAGAGGACAAGAGGACAGCACAAAGTTTCCACAATAAAAGAAAACTTCTCAGCCTGGATTCTTCATAAGCATAATGCCCTTGAAAATGAAAGGAACGTATCAAAGGCAGCCACCCAACTCAAGGCAAAGGCGGCACAATGTGGCTTTTTTTTTTTTTTGGTTTTTCGAGACAGGGTTTCTCTGTGTAGCTTTGCGCCTTTCCTGGAACTCACTCTGTAGCCCAGGCTGGCCTCGAACTCACAAAGATCCACCTTCCTCTACAGCCCTAGTGCTGGGATTAAAGGCGTGTGCCACCACCGTCCGGCCACAATGTGGCTTTTCTAAATTCGAGTTCTGGTTCAACTGACAGGACGGTTCTTCAGGTGGTCTTGAACTTGCCACTTCCCCCCTTTCTTGTAATTCTAAAGAATCACCATGGGATGTGCTGGTTCCTGAGATAGAGAGGGGCAGGTCAGGAGAGCTGGGCTCAGCTCCTGCTCTTAGATACAGGACTCCAACACTCTGACCCAGCTAGTCCTGTCCCGTGGGGTATAATATCCAAGACAGGATGCTTTCCAGGTTCCTGAGCAGCCTCTTGAACTCTAGGGACCAGCTGATAATGAACCAGTGCGCATGTTGTTCCTTGCTGCCCACTCCAATAAACTTGCTCTGGTGTTGTGTAGCAATTTCCTCCTAAATAAAACCTCCCATCTTAGAGGGAAGCTCATTAAGACACAGGATATTAAAAGGAGCTGAAGCAACGCATGTTATAAGGGGAGAGGAAGTATTCCATCCTCTAGGGGACTTCCATAAGCTAAGGAAGTAAACAACTCACATAATTCTAGGAAGTCACTGAAACTAACCAGATTCACTAGGTTCTTCCCTCTCCCAGGACTGCTGAGATTCTCAGACCAGCTGACTGGCCTGAGGCAGACAGATCAGCCCAGCTACCTCAAAGAAGCAGAGACCAGCTGACTGGCCTAGCTGAGGCAGACAGATCAGCCCAGCTACCTCAAAGAAGCAGAGACCAGCTGACTGGCCTAGCTGAGGCAGACAGATCAGCCCAGCTACCTCAAAGAAGCAGAGACCAGCTGAGCTCCCTGAAAAGGAAACTCTTCAACATGGTAAGCTGCCTGCCTATAGGTTATGTAGTGAGCTCTGGGTTTTCAGATTTCATAGCTGTCACCCATGCTGGTGCGGGCCATTGATGATGCAGCTGTCTTTGAGTAATTTCTGCTCCTGTAAGTAACCCTTCATCCATATTCCTGTAAGAAACCAAATAAAACTCATTGGTTCACCAAGTTAGACTTTGGTGGTATCCATACTTTAGCTTGTCATTGGTTCCCTATCTGGGTTGAGTAGTGAGCTACTCGTTCATGTTCTGCTGTGGAGTATCTGTACACTGTATGAAGATGTGTTACTGTGACTGATGTAATAAAAAGCTGAATGGCCAATAGCTAGGCAGGAGGTATAGGTGGGACTTCCTGGCAGAGAGAGAACTCTGGGAAGAAAGGCAGAGTCACCAGCCAGACACAGAGAGGAAACAGAAGGTGCAAGATGGAACAGAGGTAATACCACCTAGAAGAACGTAGATTAACATAAATGGGTTAATTTAAGTTATAAGAGCTAGTTGAGACAAGCCGAAGCTAAAGGCCAAGTTTTTGTAACTAGTAAGAAGTCTCTGTGTCATTATCTGGGCTGGTGATCCAAAGCTCGCTACAGTGTTTCCCCAGGAGCTTTATCACAGACATGTGTGCACCTTGTGTGTGAGGATTCTCTCTCACCAGGTTCAGACCAGCTGATAAGCAGAGCATTGTTTGGTGATGGTAACGCAAAGACAAGATCCAAGAAATAAATAGCCAGTAAGGTGTGTTTGCATGATATAAAAATTCTTGCTCCAGGGACTGGACCTGCCTGGACTGGGTCTATCAGGTTGATCGCAGTCCTCGGGGGAGGATTTACCCTGGAGGAGGTGGGAATGGGGGGTAGGCTAGGGGTAAGGAGAGGGAGTGGGAGGGGGAGAATAGGGGAACCCGTGGCTGATATGTAGAACTGAATGGTATTGTAAAATAAAATAAAAAAATTAAAAAAAAAGAAACTTCAAAAAAAAAAAAAAAAATTCCTGCTCCGTAAAAGCCACCATTGAGTGAATGAAATGACAAGACACTGACCAGGAGAAACTATTCACAAAAGGAGTGTCTTACGGAAAACTGTTGTCTAAAATAGATACAATGGACTCTCAAATTTCAACCATATGAAAACAACCAGAGAGGAGCCTGGAGAGATGGCTCAGTTGGTAAGGTACTTGCCATGCAAGCCTGAGCACCTGAGTTCAGACCCCCAGCACCCACAAAAAACTCCAGGCTCACCTGAGGTCCCAGCACTGGCGGGACAGAAACAGGATCCTGGGAGCTTGCTAGCTAGCTGGTCTAGCTGAACAGTGATGCACAGAAGAAAAAGCACATGAAAAAGTATCCTGTATCGGGCGGTGATGGCGTACACCTTTAATCCCAGCACTCGGGAGGCAGAGGCAGGCAGATTCCTTTGAGTTCGAGGCCAGCTTGGTCTACAAAGTGAGTTCCAGGAAAGGGGCAAAGCTACACAGAGAAACCCTGTCTTGAAAAACCAAAACCAAAACCAAAAACAAAAAACAAAAAAACAAAAAAAAACAACAACAAAAAAACGTCTCCTGTGTCACACAGCATAAGGGATAGGTGGTTTCCAGGGTTTGCGTGGGAGAAGGGAAGAGCACACAGAGCACCTCAGGACAAGTGAAAACACCATACTACAGTAGTGAACACACATCATCACACACACCTAAACGCACAGAACAGTGGTGATGTGAACAGTGGTGAGGTGATGACAGAAGTTCCATTCTGGTAAGGAATGCTGATAGTGAGGATAGCTGGACATGGTGAGGGGGCAGGGAACACATGCGAAATCCATGTATCTTCCCAATTTTGCTTTGATCCTACAACTCTTCAAAAACCCTTTTTTTTTTGGAGTCAAGGTCCTTCGATATCATGGTGACTGGCTTAGAACTCACTCTGAAGACCAGGCTGGCTTAAATTTGCAGCAGTCTTCCTGTCCCTGCCCGCCAGGTGCTGGGATTACAGGTGTGGATCACCATACCTGGCTTTAAAAGTGAGTCCCCTTCCCCACCAGCTGCCACAGTGAGAAAAGGAATAGCCCAATTAGCAAATGAGAGAAAGGGACTGGGATGCAGTTGAAAGTGGAGCACTTGTTTAACATGCGTGAGGCCCTGGGTTCTACCCCAGCATTCAATAAAACAAACAAAAACAGAAAGAAAAAAAGCAAGCAAGCAGAACATATGAATAGACATTTCACCAGAGAACATATACAGGGAGCAAATCCGCACATGAAATGTTTACTGTCATAAGCCAACAGAAAAAAACAAATTAGGGCATATGGTGGTACACATCTCAAGTCCCAGCATTCAGGAGGCAGAGGCAGGAGGATCTCTGTAAGTTCAAGGCCAGCCAAGGCTACATAGTAAGACCCTGCTTCAAAGAAAAAGAAAAAAAGAAAAAACACAAAACAAATAACAAAAAACAAGAGTTGAAGAAATTAAAGAATTTCAGGCCAGCCAAGACAACATAGTGAGACCCTGTCTCAAAAAATTAAGAGTAAGTAAGTAAATAAGTAATTAAATAAGTAAATAAATAAATAAAATTAGGGCATGCTATCACTATGCCCCTATTAAAATAGCTAAAATTAAAATAGTCATGACACAGAATATTGGCAAGGATGTGAGGAAACTGGCCCTTCACACATTGCTGGTGGGAATACAAATGGTATAGACATTGTGGAGAAAGCCTAGCAGTTTCCTATTAGACTGAACATACTCAGACTCCAGAGAAATGAAAATTTGTATGTATAAAAAAATCCATCCATTATACAAATGGTCACAACAATTTAATTCACAGTATTCCCAAACTGGAAACTATCCAAACACCCTTCAATAATGAGTAGCTGCATAAACTGAAACATGCCCTCAGTGGTGTGAATACACCATAGCAGTAAAAAGAAAGCAAGTCATGTTCGCTTTGGCAGCACATACACTAAAACTGAATAAAAATAATACAGAGATTAGCATGGCCCCTGAACAAGGATGATATGCCAATTTGTGAAGGGTTCCATATTTTAAAAAAGAAAGAAAATCTCACATGGCCACATGCTATGATTCTATTTTTATGAATTTCTCAGAATGACAAAAATCAGAGATTAAGGAGTTAGTTGTTTGGATGTCAGTGAGAAGGGTGTTGATAGAATGTGGCAGCTTTCAAGTGGCAGCCGGAAGGGTTTCTATGGCAATGAGCTTTGCAGCATTGGCATCGTCCTGGCTACCAGGATATGCTGTGTCAAAGGAGGGGCACATGTGGTGCTATACTGTGCACCCTAATAAAGCTTGCCTGAAGATCAGAGGACAGAGCCAGCCACGAGATTAGACACATAGTCAGGCAGTGGTGGCACACAGCACTTGGGAGCCAGAGATCCGTCTGGATCTCTGTGAGTTCAAAGCCACCCTGGCCTACACCAGGTTGACTCAGTCTGGAGAGAGACACAGCCAAGCAGTGGTGGCACACACCTTTAATCCCAGTACTTGGGAAGCACACAGCCTTCAATGGCTGGGCAGAGAAAGGTATATAAGGCATGAGGAGACAGGAACTAAAAGCTTTTGTCAGAAGCATCCCTTTCTGCTAGAGGCTTTTTCAGGCTGAGGAATCCTAGAGGTAAGAGGTGTCTTGTTCCTTTGTCTCTCTGATCTTTCAGCATTTCCACCAATATCTGGTACTGGGTTTTTTATTAAAAGACCACTTTAAGATTCATGTCACATATAGTCATATGTACATTCACATACATACATGTGCATGTATACATACACCAGAACAGCTAATGAGTCTGGAGCTGACCTTTAGAGTAGTCTTAGCATCATGTGAGGTGTTATCATAGGGGACACATTGGAAAAGATCATGGGGGCCTTTCTTTACTTTGCCATTTCTTGTGATTCTATAATTATCTTGAATTAAAAAAGTTTTCTCCACAGAGCAACTTGACACTGCACTGGATGCATCCTGAACAATCTGACCAATGTCACCGAAAATGACCAGGACTTTCTATACACCTGCAATATGGACAGCAAAACAAAGATCAAGACTATCATACAAGCTGGGTATGGTGACACACGCCTTTAATCCCAGCACTCGGGAGGCAGAGGCAGGTGGATCTCTGTGAGTTCAAGGCTAGCCTGGTCTCCAAAGCAAGTTCCAGGAAAGGCACAAAGCTACACAGAGAAACCCTGTCTCGAAAAACAAAAAACAAAAAAACAAAAAAAAAGAAAATTCCAGGACAGCCATCTACACAGTGAGTGAGATTCTGTCTCAAAAAACAAAACAAAAAATATAAACAAAAACAACAAAAAACGCAATAATTTTAAATTATATATACCACTACATTAACTTTTTATTTTAAGAATAATTTATAAACCAGGCAGTGGTGGTGCACGCCTTTAATCCCAGCACTTGGGAGGCAGAGCCAGGTAGATCTCTGTGAGTTTGAGGTCAGCCTGGTCTGCAGAGAACTACATATAGAGAAACCCTGTCTTGAAAAAAAAAAAACTAAACAAAAAAGAATAATTTATAACTAATAAATACTAGGTATCTTTCAATTTTACAGATCTTTGGTTTGCATTATTTAATGTTTTATATCAGTGATTCTCAACTTTCCTAATGCTTTGACCTTTTAATACAGGTCCTCATGTTGTGGTGACCCCAACCATAACATTATTTCAATGCTACTCATAATTGTAATTTTGTTACTATTATGAATTGTAATATAAATATCAGATACTCAGGATATCTGATATATGACCCCCAAAAGGGTCATGACACACAGGTTGAGAAACACTGTTTTATATAATTTAAGTATCTGTAGGGCAGAGGAAGTATTTGTGCTGTTCTGAAATAGATATTCTAATGATATTTTATGATCATTGGACATAACCACTACATTCACTATTATACCACTTTACAGAGACATTCTGGAAACTTTTACTATACCCTACCATTATCATATGCTCACTCAAAATTACATTAAAAATTGTAAATAAAGTGTGGCAATGAATGCACTAAAGGGTAGACTGTGTGACTCAACAGGTCACACCACAGCTCACACAAGAAGATTTTTTTTTTTTTTTTTGTATTTCTTTATTTTGTTTGGTTTTTAGATTTTCTTTTAAATTTGGTTTTGATGGGAGGGGCAATTCAAGGGCAGAGGGCAGATGCAAGGAGACAGGGAGATTAAGATTGGAATGCAAGATGTGAAATCCACAAAGAATCAATACACGTTTTTAAAAAATATTAAGAAAAACAGAATATGAAATTGGAAATTTTCAAAAATTCTCTTGAGTTTTCATTTCCTATTCTTAGATTCCCCAATTGTAAACATATATGTATCATATATGTATTTATCTACTTGTGTTGGGTGGGTGCTCATGAGTGTGGCGGTGAGTGTAACTTGGAGCTGGCTTTCTCCTTCCACTGCAGGCACTGGGGTCGAGCTTAGGTTATCAGCTTGGTGTAAGACGTCTTGAACTACTGAGCCATCTGGCCAACCCCAGCCTCTAAAATATAACAGCTTCTTCCTGATGGATGACCAGCTCTGGGTTTCATCCTAGGACTAACGTACTCCAGCTGTTGGCCCAGAGAGTGATCTAGTTCTAACCGACGCCCTACCAAAGCTACCTGATCCCATCCAAGGGCATTTTCTATCAGGCCAGCAAGCTCCATGGCCATCTACTCCCATACCTATTCCAGCAAGCAGTGTGCTGGCATACACTTTTAGCAGGCTCAGGACCTAAAACGATAGGCCTGTGATGGGGGGATGTCAGTACAGAGGACTCTCCTAATGTCTCTGGGTCCCTCCATCTTAAGGGTTTCTAACACATCATATATTATTACACACTCTCTGCCTGTGAAGATCTCAAGGCCTGGAAATCCCTTAATGTGGAGGGCTCCTTCAGAGTAGAGCCTTCCCTGGACAGAGGGTAGGCAGCCCACAGTTCCTGAGGAATGGATAATGTTTACCTTCAGGACCTCTGTGTAGCTTACCAATGGCACTGAGGGCATGCTGGAGTTCCAGAGCAAAGGCAGTTAGGGGCACATCCTCAGACACAGGCATTGCTGCTACTGTGGACAGGTTGCCAGGTGGGTTCCCCAAGTCCCATTTGCTGCTTGCTGTGTGAAGCCCAAGCTGGTGACCTGTAGGGATACAACCAAGAATCAACTTGGAAGGTTGGGCCACCAGCAGAACAGCTATGGTGACAGATGACACAGGGTGCCATCAAGAGGGACCAGGGTCTGCTTCCAGTCTCACAATGACTAAAGCAGGCCCTTGATCAATACCAACTGGATGTGCTCTAGTTTTGGCCCAGCCATAAATTATCTTGATCCTCCAGAGCTTGGGAATTCAAGGAGCAAGAAAATTTGGGAAATATTCTGCCAGATGAGAGCACCCCCACACCCCAATGGTCTCACTATGTAGCCTTGGCTGGCCTCAGATCCACCTCTCTTAATGGTATGTGTATGTATACACACACACACACACACACACACACACACACACACACACACACACACACATCATTGCTCTTTACAGTTTTTTGTTTTTAATCACTCTAGAATCTGTAAGCTCAGAAGATCAACAGACACACCTTTATTATCTCTTACCACATGGGATTCCAAAAACCAAAGGAAGCAGAGAATAAAGGAGGAAGGTCATTCTGGGGCAGGGGCAGGGGCATCCTAGGGAGACACCAGAAAGGATGCCTGAAGGAGAAATCGAAGCAGGCAGAGCCTCCTTGAGACCAGGATATCCAAGGGTCCAACAGAGCCTCACCCAGACACCCAGAGGGCCTAGACCTCCCCCCAGGCCCTACTCAGCTGCAGGGACTGTGGACCACTCAACTAACACTGGGGCAAGACTGAAGACATTTTAGTATTGCTATCCTGTACCAAAAGATCCTGGTACAAGTTCTTCTCCCATACAAAGTTCTCCTCTTGAAGGGGCCCCTCCTGCATCCACAAAAGGTGGCTGAGCACAGGGGTTCCTGGCATTTTCATGCTATGGACTCCCTGGCCACTGGTGGCCTACCCTCCTCTACAATGTCCCTCTCACCCCTGACCTTCCTTTTTACTCTGACACAGACAGACCCATCTTCAGGCCTGGGTTGCCTGTCTTCCTTAAGCGAAGTTTCCAAATGCCTGGCTTCTTCTCTGCTCCTCACCCCAGGAACAGCTTCCAGAAACTATCAGATACACAGTTCCAATTGGTTGGACATATGTCTGCACAGACTGACTTAGAAGTCTGGTGCAGAGCTACAGGTGGAGGGAGCTACAGGGATATGTGGAGCCCCATTCAGTGACCTGTAGGCACAGAGCCAGGAATCAACTTGTAAAGCTGGGCCACTGCCTGGAAGCCCCCATGTTTCCAGATGACATAAGGTACAGGACAGTAAGAGAGAGAGTTTAGGAAGGGTTTGCCATTCCAAGCAAACCTAAGAGCAGGGAGAGAGGGTGAGAGATAAGGAGCCATCATACATATATCACACAAATACTACACACACAATTCACATACATCTCACACACAACATATATATACATATACATATACACACCATATACATAATTTGAATACATACGTCCCAGACACCATGTATATACCACACACATAACTTATACATGTATTTCATATATACCATATGTGCATCATATACACAAAGATATTCACTGCAATATTGTTTAAAATAGTTGGGAAGGCCAGGGATAGTGGTGACACCTTTAATCCCAGCACTCAGGAGGCAGAAACAGGAGAATCTCTGTGGGTTTGAGGCCAATCTAGTCTACAGAGTGAACTCCAGGCTAACCAGGGATACATATTGATACCCTGTCTCAAAAAACAAAACAGAACAACAACAACAACAAAAACAAAAACAAAAAATAAACAAAAATAGAGCTGAGGAGAGATGTTTGGTAATGAGGGAAATAGCTAAATGAATATCCGACCCTCTTAGCTATCAAAAAATAAAACACATCTTTAAGCCAGGTGGTGGTGGTGGTGGTGGTGGTGGTGGTGGTGCATGCCTTTAATCCCAGCACCCAGAAGGCAGAGGCAGATGGATCTCTGTGAGTTCCAGGCCAGCCTGGTCTACAGAGCAATATCCAGGGCAGCCAGGGCAACACAGAGAAACTCTGTCTCAAAAAACAAACAAACAAACAAACAAATAAACAAACAAACAGCTGGAGAGATGGCTGGAGAGATGGCTCAGAGGTTAAGAGCACTGGCTGCTCTCCCAGAGGTCCTGAGTTCAATTCCCAGGAACCACATGGTGGCTCACAACCATCTGTAATGAGATCTGGTGCCCTCTTCTGGCCTGCAGGGATACATGTGGGCAGAACATTGTATACATAGTAAATAAATCTAAAATAAATAAAACCCCACATCTTTATATAATGGTGAGAACAGTTATTGAGTGAAATAGCTATAGTTATAACTTTGGTCACAAGGCCTAAAATGGGCTCTCTTTGGTGCCACATTCTCCAGCTGTCTGTGCCTCACTCAAAGTGAACTGATGGTCACTGAGCCTGTGTGGTTCTCTGCAACCTGTGGTTCCTAAGAGCCTCCGGGGTTCCTCTGATATCTCCCCTCACTTCCTGGATACCTCCTTGCCTGCCCCTTCCCCTGCTCCCCTGGGTCTTCATCTCCCAGGCCTATGGAAGGAGGCCTTCTTTACTTATTTCATCCTCATTCATTAGCTCCGGGGAGAGGACTGTGGCCTTCTTCTAACAGGGCAGTTCCCACCACCAAGCGGCTTTCCCATCAAATGTAAGAATGGTGTTGTGAGTCAGTGGTGCTTCCACCCAGGAAGCCCACAAGGAGGCACCAAGCAGTCCACTGTCCTCGGCTCAGGCTAGGCTGCTTCCACACACTGAGTGGATGGTTACCACTCTGGTGATTAGGAGGAAACAGCACCTAAGTAACAACTAAGTCACTAAAAGCCCAAAGCCCACAGCCCGGAGCACCGCCTAGCAGAAGCAGATGAAAATCACTGCTACAGCAGTGATCTGAATATCTCTCCCTTGGGTAGCCTCCTTTGCAATAGGTCTTCCTTGGGGATTCCCTTCACTCTCCCATCTTTCTTTTCCATCGACCTCAGATGTCAGAACCCTCTGTTTTAGTAGAACCAGTATGGGAGCTCTACTGTTTGTTAGCTATGTGCAGCTCTCAGTCTTCGAATGAGGTACTTAGGAAGGCTTTACTGCGGTCCAAAGGGACCAAAGCGGAGTGAGGGGCACCTCATCTGGAGGCTCTAAGGGCTGCAGGAAGCCCCTCTCTCCATTCAACAGGTCAAGGAAGGAGTCCTTTCCAAGGAGGCTGCCTCTACGAAGCCTCTCCAGCTTGAACAAAAAGCAGCCGTTCTCTCTAGCAAGCAGAAGCCCTGCACCAGCCAGAGAGGGGACTGGAGAAAGCTATCTTCAGCTATGCCTGGGCTAGGCAGGTCAGAATCCACAGAGGATCAGAACAAAGGATGGCACAGAACTCCAGCAATCCTACCGCCTCAAGGAAACACAGGCTGACCAAACAAATCATAGTCCAGAAAACTAGGGCAGAACCTGAGCTATGAATACAAACACACTGACAGCCACAGAAGATTTACATGGGAATATAATATTCAAAAACAGATATTTGTTTAATATAGTATATATATATTTAAAAATTCAGTATATTCCAATTACCAGGTACACCAAGAACAAAGAATTTTTTTTCTTTTTCTTTTTGGTTTTTTGTGATAAGGTTTCTCTGTGTGTAGTCCTGGCTATTCTGGAACTTGCTCTGTAGACCAGGCTGATCTCAAACTCAAAGATCCAACTTTCTCTGCATCCTGAATGCTGGGATTAAAGACATGCACCACCTCTACAGCAAGGAATCTTAACTTGAATGAGAAAAATCAGTCAACAGACAAAATAACAGCACAAAGGTTAGAATTATTTGCTAGGAACAATGAAATACAACCAGTCACAGCCAGCCATCATGAAATCATGAGCATTTCTGAAACAAACAGAGACAGAAAACCTTAGTAAAACAAAGAAGAGCCAGAACACAACAACAAATAAAAGGTTCTCTGGGACAGGAGTCACAGCAGTACACACTCGTGATCCCAGCAGGGGACTACTAGACTAAGAGGGAGCCCAGAGCAGAAGGATGGCAAATTCTAGGTCAGTCTGGGCTATATACTGAGTCAGAGGCCAGCCTGGGATACACAGCAAGTTCCTGTCTCCAAATAATAATAACAACCAAAAAAAAATATTTTTAAACCACTTTGTATAGGCCAAATAGGAGAATCAAGTGACAGGAAAGAGCAAGTAATATTGAGGACAGGCCAAAGGAACAATTCTATTTGAACATCATAGAGACAGAAAGATAAAAAAGTGACCAGTGCCCCAGATACCTCTGTGACAATAACAAAAGGCCCAGCATTCGTGACACTTTGTTTTAAGAAGAAAAGAAAGAAAACAGGGTTGGAAAAAGATGTGAAGAAAGAAAAGCTAAGAATTTCCCAAATTTGCTAAAAGATATAATCTATAGGTTAAAGCACAATTAACTCCAAAGGCATAAATCCAAAGATTTTCTAATTTCTGAAATGTAAAGATGAAAAATAATTTAAGGGCAGGTCAAGTGTCAGTTATCTGAAATCTCTGAGGCCAGAGTGCTTTGGAGTTCTGGCCTTGTCAGATTTTAGAACGTTCCCAGTCTACTGGTTAAACATTCCTCATCTGAAAGTAGCAAATGCTCCCAAAATTCAGAACTTCTGAATGCTGACGTGACACTTCAAAAGTTTTGGATTTTGGATTTCAGATTTTTAAAGGCAAATGTCTGGTTCCCAAGGCACGTAGAGGTAATGGTTAAAACACATCTCAAGGGCTGGTGAGATGGCTCATTGGTTAAGAGCACTGGCTATCATTCCAGAGGTTCGATTACCAGCACCCACATGTGGCTTACAACTGTCTGTAACTCCAGTTTCAAAGGATCTGACACCCTCTTCTGGCCGCCAAGGGCACTGCATGCATGCAGTGCACAGACATATGCAGGCAAAACACCCAGATACATAAAAATAAACAAATCTCAAAAACAACAACAACAAAACATACAACGGCTGGCCTCAAACTCATAGAGATCCTCCTTGTTCTGCCTCCCGAGTGCGGGATTAAAGGTATGCGCCACCACTGCCCGGCCGATAAGGCACTTTCATTCCACTTAAAATGAAAAATATTGCTATTAATGGATGAGGATAAGCATAAAATTTTGTACTCCCTAGAAACCATCCAACAAAGAGAATGTAGAAATCAGAACTAATAAAAATAAGATGCTTGAAAGTAACCAAAAAGAGCCGGGCGGTGGTGGCGCACGCCTTTAATCCCAGCACTCGGGAGGCAGAGCCAGGCGGATCTCTGTGAGTTCGAGGCCAGCCTGGGCTA